ATGGTTGTTGTGGTGGTGATGGTTGTTGTTGTTGTGGTGGTGGTGATGGTTGGTGTTGTGGTGGTGATGGTTGTTGTTGTTGTGGTGGTTGTGATGGTGGTGGTGATTGTTGTTGTTGTTGTGGTGATGGTTGTTGTTGTTGTGGTGGTTGTGATGGTGGTGGTGATGGTGGTTGTTGTTGTGGTGATGGTGGTTGTTGTTGTTGTGGTGGTGATGGTTGTTGTTGTGGTGGTGATGGTTGTTGTTGTGGTGGTGATGGTTGTTGTTGTGGTGGTGATGGTTGTTGCTGTGGTGATGGTTGTTGTTGTTGTGGTGATGGTTGTTGTTGTTGTGGTGGTGATGGTTGTTGTTGTGATGGTTGTTGTGGTGGTGGTGGTGATGGTGGTTGTGGTGGTGGTGATGGTTGTTGTCGTGATGGTGATGGTTGTTGTGGTGGTGGTGATGGTCGTTGTTGTGGTGGTGGTTGTTGTGGTGGTGTTCCGCTCCTGGCATTGGCCTTTTTGCCGTTCTCTGCGCTGACAGCGGTGTTGGACGAGGCATTGAGGAAGGCTACAAGGACAATGAGTTTCAAAGACAATAACGTCACCATTGTGGTTGTTGTTGTCAAGAGTTGTTGTTGTGTGTTTGTTTGTGCGTGGTTAATGCGGACTGTGATGATGCCTTGCCAATGGACGAGTGTCTGTCCGGCGTTGGAACATCTCAAACACGACGGACAATTCCCACGACATTCCCACGACATTCCCACGACATTCCCACGACATTCCCGACGACATTCCCGACGACATTCCCACCCCCACCCCCCACCCACCCCCCCACCCCCCCACCCCCCACCCCCCCCCACCCCTTCCCCCGCATTGACCCCCAACAACTCACGTGCCCCCGCCCGGCGGGGGTCCACCTCCCAGGGCACGGTGAGGTTCAGCAGCGCCTCCCGGTCGGCGCTCCCCTTCCCCCAGGCAGCAGGGGGCGCTGGCCCCGAGTGGCCTGGGCGGCAGTGGTGGCGCGGCGAGGCCGTGAAGAATGCGTCGGACAGGAGATTGAAGGCGAGCGGCACGTTGGGCAGCCACGTGAGCAGAAGCACGGCCCACTGGAAGCGCCCCATGCCACCGGTCCTCAGCATCACCGAGTCGTAGTCCATCTGCACGCCGGCACGCGGAGGGGAGGGGAGTGGAGGGGGGGGAGGGAGGGAGGGAGGGAGGGAGGGGAGGGGAGGGAGAGAGGGAGGGAGGGAGGGAGGGGAGGGAGGGAGGGAGGGAGGGAGGGAGGGGAGGGAGGGAGGGAGGGAGGGAGGGGAGGGAGGGAGGGAGGGAGGGATGGAGGGAGGGAGGGAGGGAGGGAGGGAGGGGAGGGAGGGAGGGAGGGAGGGGAGGGAGGGAGGGAGGGAGGGAGGGAGGGAGGGGAGGGGAGGGGAGGGAGGGAGGGAGGGAGGGGAGGGAGATATAGGGAGAGATATCGAGGTGCGAATATGCAGAGAGATACAGAGAGAGATACAGACACACAGAGAGATACAGACACACACAGAGAGATACAGACACACACAGAGATACAGACACACACAGAGAGATACACACAGAGACACACACACAGAGAGAGACATATGAACATACCAGAGTATACTTCCAATCCAGTGGAACCCATTCAGCGGTCCGGAGTGTTGCGATCGTCATACAGGGCCGGCTTGCACACCAACGCCACGCTCCCTCAGCAGTTTCGCTTACGGTAGACCATCTCTCCCCGGTGCTTTTCCCACTCCCAGACCCGCAGGTTGTCCCTCGCATTTCCTCAACAGACGGCTCGCAAATAACTCACTCGCAGGTGGGCTGCCCACTTCCTCCATCATATGTGGCACGGCAGCCCTAGCAGGGTCATCCGCAACCCTCTGCCCCGTGATGTTATCCGAGCGGAGGCATTTCCCCTAGACCAAGACCTGTTCCTGGGGGGGTCGGAGATCTGAACACCGGAGATCTGAACACCTTTTTAAATTTTTCCCACCCACCACCACCTCCCCCCCCCTCCCACCTCCCTTTCAGGACGGCAATCGGCGCGAGTCGCCGCAAGTTACCGTTTTCGACGGCATTAAACGGTGACGTGCGAAACCCACTCGTCCCTTGCCGTTCCGCACGGCTCTCCCAACCTCCCCGACGTGGGACGCTGTGAACGGCGGGAGTGGGCCCGTCACTTTCTCTCGACTAGCCAGAACACCTCCTCCGTCGGCGAGGGTCTCTGGCTAAGGCCTGGACCGCGTACCCAATGCAGCCATTGCAGCTGCATGAGCTACATTCCTGAACCTCGCCCATTTCCCCTGGGCATCAGGAGGAAGGGGGGGGTCGGAACGATGCCAACATCGGCTGCGGGCGACGATTAAGGTTCTCACGGATGACGAGCCGATAGTCGGAAATCAGAACCTTTGTTTGTCGACGGCAGATGGGAATCCGGTGAAGCTCCTTTTTCCACAGATGTCCAGCAGCGAGTGGGGCGCGCGGTGTCAGCGGGTTTACAACTGCGTACGATCACAGGGAAAACAAATAAACGATAGGAGTTCAAATTAGAGAAAACGGTCAAGGCAGTCACTCACTCAGAATATGGCTTTGATTTGAAGCTTTCGTGACTGCAGCGATTCATATTCTTGGTTCTTTCGGTCAAGTCACGTTGAAGGGAAGCAATAAAATCTATATTTTATTATTTTATTGTTTCCCTTCAACGTGACTTTACCGAAAGAACCAAGAATAAGCCCTTTCTGGCGATGAAAAGAGAGGAGGGCGCCGAGATGTTCAAACGCCAAACGGGCGCACGCCTGCTTGCAAGGCTTCACGAAGTCCGCAACTGATCGAATGTCATACTCGTGGCAAAAAAAACATGCTCTGATAATTTAACGAATGCTTGCATCGTCTTCGAAACTGCTGGGCAAAAGGTGAACGGTAGAAGAGACGATGCAAGTTTCAGAACACCTGTGGCTCGGGTCGAGGAGTTACATCTATGGGACCTTTTTGCCAGTACAGGGACTCCTCGTAAACATTCGGCTTAGGGGCGTTCAGAGATACGAACAAACCTGGTCCGCATTTCATGTAGATGCCACGTGAAGGACCAGTGGCATCTACATCTACAGAATGTGAAGGACCAGTGGCATGTACATCTGCAGAACGTGAAGAACCAGTGGCATCTACATCTGCAGAACGTGAAAAACCAGTGGCAGCTACATCTGCAGAACGTGAAGAACCAGTGGCATCTACATCTGCAGAACGTGAAAAACCAGTGGCATCTACATCTGCAGAACATAAAGAACCAGCGGCATCTACAGAACATGAAGAAGCAGTGGCATCTACATCTGCAGAACGTGAAGAACCAGTGCCATCTACATCTGCAGAACGTGAAGAACCAGTGGCATCTCCATCTGCAGAACGTGAAGAACCAGTGGCATCTACATCTGCAGAACGTCAAGAACCAGTGGCATCTACATCTGCAGAACATGAAGAACCAGCGGCATCTACAGAACATGAAGAACCAGTGGCATCTGCAGAACGTGAAAAACCAGTGGCATCTACATCTGCAGAACATAAAGAACCAGTGGCATCTACATCTGCAGAACATGAAGAACCAGCGGCATCTACAGAAAATGAAGAACCAGTGGCATCTACATCTGTAGAACATGAAGAATCAGTGGCATCTACATCTGCAGAACGTGAAGAACCAGTGGCATCTACATCTGCAGAACGTCAAGAACCAGTGGCATCTACATCTACAGAACGTGAAGAACCAGTGGCATCTACAGAACATGAAGAACCAGTGGCATCTACATCTGTAGAACATGAAGAACCAGTGGCATCTGCGTCTACAGAACATGAAGAACGAGTGGCATCTGCATCTGTAGAACGTGAAGGACCAGTGGCATCTACATCTACAGAACGTGAAGAACCAGTGGCATCTACATCTACAGAACGTGAAGAACCAGTGGCATCTACATCTGCAAAACATTAAGAACCAGTGGCATCTACAGAACATGAAGAACCAGTGGCATCTACATCTGCAGAACGTGAAAAACCAGTGGCATCTATATCTGCAGAACATAAAGAACCAGTGGCATCTACATCTGCAGAAACATGAAGAACCAGTGGCATCTACATCTGCAGAACGTGAAGAACCAGTGGCATCTACATCTACAGAACATGAAGAACCAGTGGCATCTACATCTGCAGAACGTGAAAAACCAGTGGCATCTACATCTGCAGAACATAAAGAACCAGTGGCATCTACATCTGTAGAACATGAAGAACCAGTGGCATCTACATCTGCAGAACGTGAAGAACCAGTGGCATCTACATCTACAGAACGTGAAGAACCAGTGGCATCTACATCTACAGAATGTGAAGAACCAGTGGCATCTACATCTGCAAAACATTAAGAACCAGTGGAATCTACAGAACATGAAGAACCAGTGGCATCTGCGTCTACAGAACATGAAGAACCATCGGCATCTACAGAACATGAAGAACCAGTGGCATATCCATCTGTAGAATGTGAAGAACCAGTGGCATCTATATCTGCAGAACATGAAGAACCAGCGGCATCTACAGAACATGAAGAACCAGTGGCCTATCCATATGTAGAATGTGAAGAACCAGTGGCATCTACATCTGCAGAACATGAAGAACCAGTGGCATCTACATCTGCAAAACGTGAAGAACCAGTGGCATCTACATCTGCAAAACATGAAGAACCAGCGGCATCTACAGAACATGAAGAACCAGTGGCATCTACATCTACAGATCGTGAAGAACCAGTGGCATCTACATCTGTAGAACATGAAGAATCAGTGGCATCTACATCTGCAGAACGTGAAGAACCAGTGGCAACAACATCTGCAGAACGTGAAGAACCAGTGGCATCTACATCTACAGAACGTGAAGAACCAGTGGCATCTACATCTACAGAACGTGAAGAACCAGTGGCATCTACAGAACATGAAGAACCAGTGGCATCTACATCTGCAGAACGTGAAGAACCAGTGGCACCTACATCTGCAAAACATGAACAACCAGTGGCATCTACAGAACATGAAGAACCAGTGGCATCTGCGTCTACAGAACATGAAGAACCAGTGGCATCTACAGAACATGAAGAACCAGTGGCATCTACATCTGCAGAACGTGAATAACCAGTGGCATCTACATCTGCAGAACGTGAAGAACCAGTGGCATCTACATCTGCAGAACGTGAAGAACCAGTGGCATGTACAGAACGTGAAGAAACAGTGGCATCTACATCTGCAGAACGTAAACAACCAGTGGCATCTACATCTGCAGAACGTCAAGAACCAGTGGCATCTACATCTGCAGAACATGAAGAACCAGCGGCATCTATAGAACATGAAGAACCAGTGGCCTATCCATCTGTAGAACGTGAAGAACTAGTGGCATCTACATCTGCAGAGCATGAAGAACCAGTGGCATCTACATCTGCATAACGTCAAGAACCAGTGGCATCTACATCTGCAGAACATGAAGAACCAGCGGCATCTATAGAACATGAAGAACCAGTGGCCTATCCATCTGTAGAACGTGAAGAACCAGTGGCATCTACATCTGCAGAACATGAAGAACCAGTGGCATCTACAAAACATGAAGAACCAGTGGCATCTACATCTGCAGAACGTGAAGAACCAGTGGCATCTACATCTGCAGAACGTGAAGAACCAGTGGCATCTACATCTACATCTGCATCTACATCTGCAGAACGTGAAGAACCAGTGGCATCTACATCTGCAGAACGTGAAGAACCAGTGGCATCTACATCTGCAGAACATGAAGAACCAGTGGCATCTACAGAAGGTGAAGAACCAGTGGCATCTACATCTGCAGAACGTGAAGAACCAGTGGCATCTACATCTGCAGAACGTCAATAACCAGTGTCATCTACATCTGCAGAACATGAAGAACCAGCGGCATCTATAGAACATGAAGAACCAGTGGCCTATCCATCTGTAGAACGTGAAGAACCAGTGGCATCTACATCTACAGAACGTGAAGAACCAGTGGCATCTACATCTACAGAACGTGAAGAACCAGTGGCATCTACAGAACATGAAGAACCAGTGGCATCTACATCTGCAGAACGTGAAGAACCAGTGGCACCTACATCTGCAAAACATGAAGAACCAGTGGCATCTACAGAACATGAAGAACCAGTGGCATCTGCGTCTACAGAACATGAAGAACCAGTGGCATCTACAGAACATGAAGAACCAGTGGCATCTACATCTGCAGAACGTGAATAACCAGTGGCATCTACATCTGCAGAACGTGAAGAACCAGTGGCATCTACATCTGCAGAACGTGAAGAACCAGTGGCATCTACAGAACGTGAAGAACCAGTGGCATCTACATCTGCAGAACGTGAAGAACCAGTGGCATCTACATCTGCAGAACGTCAAGAACCAGTGGCATCTACATCTGCAGAACATGAAGAACCAACGGCATCTATAGAACATGAAGAACCAGTGGCCTATCCATCTGTAGAACGTGAAGAACCAGTGGCATCTACATCTGCAGAGCATGAAGAACCAGTGGCATCTACATCTGCATAACGTCAAGAACCAGTGGCATCTACATCTGCAGAACATGAAGAACCAGCGGCATCTATAGAACATGAAGAACCAGTGGCCTATCCATCTGTAGAACGTGAAGAACCAGTGGCATCTACATCTGCAGAACATGAAGAACCAGTGGCATCTACAAAACATGAAGAACCAGTGGCATCTACATCTGCAGAACGTGAAGAACCAGTGGCATCTACATCTGCATCTACATCTGCAGAACGTGAAGAACCAGTGGCATCTACATCTGCAGAACGTGAAGAACCAGTGGCATCTACATCTGCAGAACATGAAGAACCAGTGGCATCTACAGAAGGTGAAGAACCAGTGGCATCTACATCTGCAGAACGTGAAGAACCAGTGGCATCTACATCTGCAGAACGTCAAGAACCAGTGTCATCTACATCTGCAGAACATGAAGAACCAGCGGCATCTATAGAACATGAAGAACCAGTGGCCTATCCATCTGTAGAACGTGAAGAACCAGTGGCATCTACATCTGCAGAACATGAAGAGAACCAGTGGCATCTACAAAACATGAAGAACCAGTGGCATCTACATCTGCAGAAACGTGAAGAACCAGTGGCATCTACATCTACATCTGCATCTACATCTGCAGAACGTGAAGAACCAGTGGCATCTACATCTGCAGAACGTGAAGAACCAGTGGCATCTACATCTGCAGAACATGAAGAACCAGTGGCATCTACAGAAGGTGAAGAACCAGTGGCATCTACATCTGCAGAACGTGAAGAACCAGTGGCATCTACATCTGCAGAAACGTCAAGAACCAGTGTCATCTACATCTGCAGAACATGAAGAACCAGCGGCATCTATAGAACATGAAGAACCAGTGGCCTATCCATCTGTAGAACGTGAAGAACCAGTGGCATCTACATCTGCAGAACATG